GAGGCTTTCCAGGGACACGACCCCAATTGCATGCCTGGAAGGCCACCTCAGTGGTGTCAGTCCCTGCTTCAGAGTGACCAGGGACAGAGCCAGCGCCCTGGGGGTGTGCTGCTTCCTCCCCCGAGTCTCCTGCTCCCCTGAAATAAGGCAGTTCGAGGCTTCAGCTTCCAATCCTCTGGCCTGGGGTCTTGGGGGAGGGAGAGGCAGGGGAGGGAGGCCATTCCAGAGTCTTTGCCCCTGGACAGTAGCACCCCAAGACCCGACGGAGAGGGAGGACCCTCAGGGCCTTTGCTCAGCATCAAGCATCTGTGAGAAAGGACCGGGGCTTGGTGGACCATGGAGAATTGGGGTTTCGGGAATCTCGGTGGGTGCGGTGTGGGGGTGGGGTGCAGATGTCCACTCGCCATGTCCCAGGATGTGGCGAGCCTGAGGTGCATGTGCCCATGTCTGGTGCGGACACCAGGTCTGGCGGGGTTGGTTTGTTTTGGGGTGATGCTCAGGACTTCCTCCTGCCTCTGCGCTCAGGGATCAGTCTGGGGGTGCCAGGAATGGGACCTGCGTCGGCCCCGTGCAAGGCAGCCGTCCTCCCCGCTGCGTTGTGGCTCCAGTTGTCCTGGGGACCCGTGCACGGGCATCCTGGATTCATGCCGTGTACCGCCAGGTGGGGTGGGGCTGGTCCTCTGTCCTGCCGTGCCCAGCTTGCCTCTGACCTTGGGCCGTGGCGAGCATTCGAGTGTGACTCGCAGTGACAGGTGGGGATGCTGAGGGAGGGAACCTGACCCACAGTCCCCAGATCACAAGGGCGGCTGGAGGCGGCAGAGAGACGAGAACCCAGATCAGGATGTTTCTCCAATGTGACAATGACAGTGTGACCAAAAAGGAGAGAGGGACCGGACTCTGTTTGCTTGCCTGCTCCCGCTCAGTGGGGCAGTGCCGAGGCGGCCAGGCCTAATCAGCTCCCCGGCCTCAGCCTGACGTGGGGCCGGTGACCGGGTTCCGTCTCCATCCCTTGCGGGGGCGTCTCTCCAGGCAGCCGTGCTGCGGTTTCCAGGCCCTTCTGACTGCAGAGAAAAGCAGCCAAGCTCCATAAGCTGTGGGTTGGGTTCAGCATCAGAACATCTGCCGGCCAGGGAGACCCCAAAACATCCACGATCAACCCAAACTGGCGAGGGCACATGGCACGGAGAATCCAAGCAACACCACACACTGGGTTCATCCCCACCACACGCACAGACACCCCCGCGCCCTCCACACACACCCTCATAGACTCCCACAGACCTCCATAGACCCCCAGACACACCCACACACACACATACACACCCACACACAGCCCCATACACTCACCAATACATACTCCCATCATACCCCATACACCCATACACACACACATACACACCCCCACATGCCCCCATACATACCTCCATACACCCTCCATACACACACCCACACACCCCACCATACATCCTGCCACACACACACCGATACACACACTCATACATCTCCATATACACCTCATACATGCATCACACCCATACATGTACCTCCATGCACACATACCCATACACGCACACCCCCCCTATGCACAGATGCATGTACCCCATACACTCACAGGTACCTTCACATGCACAAATACACACCCCATATATATACACCACAGCCATACACACGCCCATCATACACACACACCCGTACATGCATCACACCTGTACACACGGATACACGTACTCCCATGCACTCATGGATACCCCCGTATACACAAATACCTCCATATACTTACACCCCACACCTCTGTATACACACACATAGCTACAGAGACACACAAACCCATACACACCACACCACATCCACAACATAACACTGACACTCGTACACATACACCACATAACGCACCACACACACATACCCATACACACACCCCATACACATACATCGCAGCCCCCCGTACACACTACACAGAACACACATCTTATCTGTGCGCCATACCACATGCACACCACATACATACCACACACAGCATACACACACATATCACAGACCACACCCCACACATACATAATTCCTCTCCATCACCCCAACACTTACCTGTAAGCAGACAGGCAAGCCCCGTGGTGCCTGGCCTCACTGTGTGGGCACCCATGATGGCAGGATGTGCCCACCGGCACACTGAACACTCTCGCCTGGGTGCCTGGGCCAGGGTGGGGGGTGGGGCCCCCACAACCCTCTGTCACACGCTCTGAAAGTCCTGTCCAGAGGCCGGCGGTGCCCCCCCCCCCCCTTGGGGCTCCCTCCCAGGGTTCTTGCTGACTCGGCCCAGCCAGTGCCTCCCCCCGGGGTTAAGAGGGGATTGGGGGCACCCCAGGTCAGACCTGGATTCAGTCCAGGAAGAAGCAGGAGGCTCATTCTCCCGCTCCCCACAGCACCCCCTTTGCTCTGATGCCCCCACGTTGGGGCAGGTGGTCTGCTGGACGCGTCCCAGTGCTGTCCCCTGCCAGGTGCCTGCTGGGGCCTTGATGCTGGCTACGCTCTGGGGGCGAGGAGTACCCAGCGGCACTGCAGGCTTTGGGGTGTCAAGCTTCCGGGGGAGCTGGCCTTCCCGCCTCACCCTCGATGCCCAGACCCCCACGAATGCTGGCCTTCAGCGGGCAGCGAAGACCCTCCTCATCCTCATCCTCAGGCACCTCCCAGAATAGGGGCCCTGCGGTGTGAGCCACGTGAAAGGGTGACTCACATCGAAAAGGCCCGTCGGGGAACCAAGGAGGAGGAGCCCCTCTGCTCCCCGCAGGGGGCTCACGCAGCCTGCAGCCCCTCCGTCCCATCTGACTTAGGGCGTTATTCTGGGGCAGCCTGGCCGGGTGCTCTGGGTCAAGGGGCTTAGTTTGAGATAACTGGCTTCTCGCCTCCTCCGCAGGGGAGGGAGAGATGGGGCTGGGCGGGGCCAGGGACAATCTGACCCAACTCACTGCCCGCCAGTGACCCCCGCTTCTGGGCCTGTGACCCCCGCTTCTGGGCCTGCTCTCTGTTCCCTGTTCACAGAACAACCAGGAAAGAGGCAGCTGCTCCCGTGTGTGCATGAATGCGTGTACTCATGAGTCAGGAGACCTGGGTTCTAGTCTCTTTTGGTCTGTTTTGGGGCCACACCCAGCAGAGCTCCGGGCTTACTCCTGGCACTGTGCTCAGGGATCACTCCTGGCGGGGCTTGGGGACCCTATGGGGTACCAGGGATAGAACCCAGGTCTGCCGCATGCAGGGCCAACGCCATCCCCGTTGTCCTATGGCTCCGGCTCCTGCTCTTTTTGGGGGTGGGGTGGGGGTCACACCCGGCAATGCACAGGGGTTACTCCTGGCTCTGCACTCAGGAGTTGGTCCTGGCAGTGCTTGGGGGACCACATGGGATGCTGGGAATCAAACCCGGGTCGACCGCGTGCAAGGCAAACGCCCTCTCCGCTGTGCTACTGCTCCAGCCCCCTGGGTCCTACTCTTGATGTGAGTCCCCTGGGGGCCTTGGAGGCAGGACTTGGAGGAGACATTCAGACATTCACACGGTGTGTGTGTGTGTGTGTGTGTGTGTGTGTGTGTGTGTGTGTGTGTGGACTGCTCTTGGCCCACACCTGCTGCGTTCAGGGCTTAGTCCTGGCTCTGTCCAGAGGTCCCTCCTGGTGCTGCTGAGGGGACCTTACGAGGGGGCAGGGATGGGACAAGGGCCGGCCACAGGCGCGGCCCCACTAGCGACTCACACTCCAGTGTGACCAAATCAGCACAAGATGGCAGTGCCAGCATCAGCGTGCCAGTGGCACGTTGAATGTCTGGGATGATGGAAAGTTCTGGAAGTGAGGGTGTGTGGATGCACAAGACACTGGGTGGGCAGGTCAGAGCTGACGGAACGGTCAAGCTCATGCCTCCGTGGGTGTTTCCTCAAGTCAACACAAAGCCTGAAGCCCACCGTCACGCCTTTTTTGGGCAGCATCAGGCTGAGAGCAGGACCCCAGGCTGAGGAGTGCTCCTCGCTGCGGCCCCACCCCTGCGGGCAGGAAAGGAGGTGGGGCTGCAGCCGCCCGCTCTGTGCACCCCTTTTCTGGCCCCGTGGGGCTCTCTGTTCTGGAATGACCGCTCACGGACCTCCCATTCACAGCAGCCTCGTCACTGGCCTGACAGCCTCGCCTGATCCCGGGTGCCCACCCCTGTGCAGTTGCTCACCTCTGGGTGAGTGAGTGGGGTGTGGGGGAGGGGAGGGAAAGGAGGCAACTGCCTGGCCCTCAGGGCCCTCCCTGCCCCAGGGCCGCAAGACTGAGCTGGAGGTGTGTGTGTGTGTGTGTGTGTGTGTGTGTGTGTGTATGTGTGTGTGCGCACGCGCGCGCACGTTTGTGTATATATGTGTGACAGGATGTGTGTATGAGTACGTGTGAGTGTATATGAGTGTGGGTGTACTTGAGTGTGTATACGCATGTGTGTATGTGTGTATGTATGTGCGTGAGTGTGTGTGAGTGCACGTGCCTGTGCGTATGTGTGTATGCATGCATGCATGCGTGTGTATGAGTGTGTGTGTGTGTGAGTGCATGTGTCTGTGCGTGAGTATGTGTGTGAGTGTGTGTGAAGTCTTAGCTGGGTCTCCCCAGCAGTGCTTGGAGAAGTAACCAGGGGGTGACTAGGAGGAGCTGGGAGGGGCAGGGAGGTACCAGAGGGTCTTGGTCCGGATTTTCCTCGGAGCCGCCCGCTCCCCTAACCACGAGGTAAACTGAGTCTGAAAGAGTTGGGAAGCCTTGACCTCCCGGGTGACTGGGCCAGGAGATGGGGCGTCCTTGACCCGCGCGCTCGGAGGGGGGCCCCGGGGGTGCCAAGACCCCCACCCCCCGCATCTTGCAGCGGGGTCGCGGGCGTGGGGGGGGGGCTGCCCCGCGGCCGGCCGGGCCCCCCTCCCGCGCGCAGGGGGCGGGGAGAGCTGCCGCCTGGCCCAGCCCCGCGGATGACAGGAGCCGGGGCGCGGGAGGGAGGAGCCGCGCGGCGGAGCGCGGGGCTGGAGCAGAGAGCGCGGGGCGCCGAGTGCGGGCGGCGGGCGGTGCGGAGCGGAGCGGGGCGAGGCGGCGGCCACAGCACCACCTCCCCGGAGAAAGGGCCGCTTATGGCATGTGGCTGGTAACTTTCCTCCTGCTCCTGGACTCTTTCCGCAAAGGTGAGCGGCGCGGGCGGCGGGGCGGGCCCCGGGCGGAGTCCGCGCCTGCCCTTTGGGGGCGCGCCCGGAGGGGCGGCGGCGAGCGAGCCCCCCACCACCCCGGCCCTGCCCCAGGCCGGGGTGAGGGGCGCGCGCGGGGGTCCCCGCGGCTCCGCGCCGCGTGGCTGGGGGCAGGGCCGGGGCGCTGGGGGCCGCGGGGCCCCCCGGAGCAAGTTTGTTCCCCGCACCCCGAGGTCGCCTCCCTGGCCAGCGCCGCCCGGGCCCCAGGGCGCTCGGTCCCCGGCGGGGCTGGGCGCGGGGCCGGGGCCAGGGCCGGGTTGGGGGGCGTGTCCCGCCCCCCGGACGGCCGGCGTGGCCAGGGGTGGGTCCAGCCGGCCGGCGAGCTCGGACCTGCTGCGGGGCGCGCGCCGGGTCCCGGGGGCGGAGGCGCCGCGACGCACGGGGCTGGCCGCGGACAGGCGTTCCGGTCACCGGTCACCGGTCACCGGTCACCCGGCGCCGTCGCGGACCCAGACCGGGGCCCGGGCGCGCGCTGGGCAGGCGCCGGCGGCCAGCTCCGCGCCCCGCGCCGCGGGCACACCTGCCCAGCCGGACTCGCGCCCCTGTGCGGCCGCGAACTTTTCTCCTTCTCGCCTCGGTGCCCACCGCTCGCTGCCCACCGCTCGGTCCCGGGCCGGCCACCGCCTTCACCTCCCCCCACCCCCACCCCGGGCGTTGGGGGAAGGGCGGTCCCGCAGCGGGTGGGCGCCCCACTCGGGGTGGGGGTGGGGGCCCAGCTGGCCTTTGTAAGGGGTGACCACAAGCCCCGCGGGCCGGGACGCGTCACCTGCCCCGCTGGCCACGGGGTCTGGCGCAGCGGCCAGTGTGTGTGGGGGGGTCTGTATTTTATCTCTCAGCATCGCCCCTGAGATAGGGGCATTGCCCAGAGACCGGTCCGGTGGGTCAGCAGCGGCCTCTGGGTCCTGGACATAGTAGTTGAGTTTCTCAGACTCAGTGGGGCCCGGGGCATGCCCCTCCCAGGCCGGCCGGGCTAGGTCGGCTAACCCGGTCCCCCACCCCACCGACCCTCGTCTCACTTGGGGGCACTGGAAGCCTGCCTCCCGTCCAACCCCCACCCCACCCCCAAGTCTTCCTTCCTCTCCCCTCTCTTTCTGCCTCCCTCCACCCCCGCAGGCTGGCTGCCTCACAGCTTTAATTACATTAATATTAAAAATACATAAGGTGAGGAGAGGCAGCTCTCTCTCCCTCTCTCTCCCTCTCCCTCTCTCTCTCTCTCCACCCTCCACCCCATTTCCATTTTGTCAGGCGAGAAAGCACAGGCCAAAGTAGCCAGCATGCCCCATTGCCCTCAACGCCTTCCCCCTTCACCCCTTCTCCCTCTTGCAAAAAAAAAATAAGATTAAAAAAAGCCAGGGAGTCCCTGGAGCAGGTTCCCAGGCGGTCACCTGAGCCCCCCCCACCACCCCGTGTCCCCGGCTTTAATAAATGAAGCCTCGGCCATTTGATCCGGCGGGAGCAGATGGGGTGGGGGTGGACAGAGGCCCAGAAGGCCCCAGGACCACGGCGGAACAAAATCCTTTCCAACTCCAGAAGGAAGTTGCCACAGCCTCGGGTCTGGGGGCCAGGTGAGCGCCCCAGGGGCCTGTCCGCAGGGCTGGGCCACCCCGCCTCGCTGCCACTCGGGCATCTGTGCCCGGCGCCAGGGCGGCCCGCCAGACGGCCTTTCTTTCCCTTCATGCCTTAATTGGGTCTCAGGTGCCAGGCGGGTCCCCGGGGTCTGTTCTGATTGGGGTGGCACCGGGGCGTTGCGGGGCGGGGGGTGCTGGTAGGGAGGGCGTGCGGCGCGCCCCCAGGGAAGACGGGGTTCGGGAGAGGCGGGGAGGATGGGGTTTGGACGTGTTCTCCGTTGCCAGTCACCCCCACGGGCACCAGGGAAAATGTAGATGGGAATGTTCGAGCCGGTTACAGAAAACAATATCCTCTCGCAATAATTTGTCCGTCCATCTGTGAGGATCCGGAGGAGGCAGAGCGAGAGGGAGGGAGGGAGGGGGGAAAACCAGAAGAGATGGCGTGTCCTCGGGATGGAATTAAGCAGTTATTGGATGTGTTCTAAGCTTCTGTTATTTCCATTCCTCTTGAAATACCCTTTTTTTTTTTTTTTTTTTGGATGAAGCCAGAGCGCAGGCCGATTCCCCAGAACCAAACCGGGCAGGTGTTTTAATAATCAGTTATCAGGTCTCCAGTAACTGCCTGGTTATTGGCCAGGCGGGGCCAGGGTTGGGCAGTCGAGGGGCCCAGGCACAGCTCACCCCTCGCTCCAGCCAGCATATGCCCGCATCTGTGTCGCCCACATTTGCATTTTTACTGTGTAAAAAGAACAAGCTTCCCCGGCACTAAAATCCCTGTTTTCTAAAAGCCAAAATAATGGGTTGCATTGATTGTTTCATTTCCCACCCTAGCCTCTGATGGGGACTGGTGGTTCTTCCCTCTCGAGAAGACCAAATTAAAAGCCTTCGTCGAGCCATTAAGAAAATCTCTAACACTCTGTTCAGTGTCTAATTAAAAAGGGGGAGGAAGAGAAGCGGGGCGGGGATGGGGGGGTACGTATTTTTAAAATTGAGAAATGGCAAACAGAACCGGGGGGGTGGAGAGGAGCACCTCAAGAGAAGAGGAGGACCAGGGGCCCCGGGGTGCTAGGGAGAATCACAGAGCTGCCCCATAATCCTTCCGCCTCTCGTTTCTGGGCATCAGAGTCGCTGCCGCTAATATATCTCTGCGGTAGGATGGGGCGCTCGATTAGGAACAAAAAGCGAGTAAGCAGTTGACCCTAAGGCTTAGGTTGAGCAGGTCCGGGAGACCAGGAGAAGGGCAGGGGGTGGGGGTGGGGGTCTCGACCCCTGTTACTTAGCCAAGGAAGCAAGCGCCCGGGCTGGCAGGTGGGGGACCCCCAGACACGAGGCCAGGGTCTGCTCCGGGTCCACCACGACCGTGGGCTCTGCTTGGGGGTGCACATCCCCCGTGGCGCCCTGCGTCTTCGGGAATTTCATCCTGTGGCTCGCTCGGTTCCCCGCGTAGCCGGAAGGGGATCTTATTCGTGGATGAGTGGCAGGAAGGGTGGCAGTTCCGGAAGGCTTGCTGGGGAGGAGGGGAGAAAAGGGTACAGGTGCCAGGCTGGCAACCCCGCCTCCCCACCAGGCCATCTTGGGGGGGGCCTGTTTCCCAGGGCTCGGGGGGTCTGCCAGGAGAATGAGCCCCCCGGCCGGCTCCCGAGGCGCCTTCTCTAGCCCTGGAGGTTCCAGCCGGCACCCAGAGATGGCAGGGTGCCAGGGACCCGAGGGCAGGCCCTCGATTTGCATCGGATTTGCATACAGATTTGCATGTTCACCCAGCCAGGCCCTGGTGAAAAGCCTCCTGCTTTGGTAGCAGCCAGACCTTGGCTTTTTCCTGCCTGAAATGGGGGCCCTGCAGGAGCGGGGAGGGGGGGCGGATGTTTCACCTGTGCGGGTGTGTGTGTGTGAGTGTGTGTGTGTGTGTGTGTGTGTGTGTGTGTGTAGGGACACACCCATTTGGACCGGGCTGTGGGGAGTGGGCGCCGGGGAACCAGGGCTGGGTGTCCGGCTCTGCCACTGCCTGGCCCTTGCGGGATCGTGGGTGGGCCTGCTCAGTTCTCAGTGGGGGGGGATGGGCCAGGGCACCCTAAGCAGACCAGACTAGGGGCCGTTATCACTTCCTGTGTTGCAGGAAAGAAATGGGGGGGGGCGCGCCACACCAGTCACAGGACTCTGGGACCCACTTTAGCCCTGGGTGTGTGCACCCCCAGAATGGGGGAAAGGAAATGATTCAGGAGGTAGAGAAGCAGTGCGGAGTCACCCTCCTGGCTGGACGGTACCCCACTGAGAAGGGAGGGGCTGGGACTAAGTGGGATTAGGGGAAGAGCCCCCCCTTTTCTCGCCATTTGTCAGGTTCATGGTCCTGGGGGTGGGGGGGTGACGTCAGGGGAAAACGGGCAGGGGTCACAGCAGGAGGGAATGGGGTGGAGAAAGTGAAGGAGAGAGAACTTGGGGTCCCAATTCTGGACAGTAGGGGCATTCCTCGTCCGGCTGCTGGCTGGGGGCTGCCGTGGGAAGTAGTTTGGGGGTGCTTTGGTCTGTATTCCCAGCGTCCCCTGCAGGCAGGCACAGCTCCAGAGGGTTTTCCTGTCTTTCCGGAGGGTCCAGCTCCCCAGGCTCAGGGGCTGTGGCCTGGAGCCACGGTGGGCAGCAGTGGGCAGAGCTTCCCACTCTCAGTGTCTGTGGCCAGAACATCCCAGGTGCTGGAGCGGTGACGCCAAAGTGTACCAGCTTCGCGTGGACATTCAGAGTCCACAGTCCTCTTCCTGTGGGCCTGAAACTGAGGTTCCCCTCAGGGCTGTTGAGCCCCTTGATCTCCTCCTGGGGAACGAGTGTCCGGACAGGAGGTGATGAAGGGCTGCACGCGCCGTCCTGAGGCCCGCTTCTTTCTCTTGGAAACGCTTTCCCCTTCACCCCCTGCTCAGACCCCCGTCCTGAGCATGGGGCTGACGCTGCTGCAGGGGCGGCCAGAACAGGTGGCCACCTCCCCTTCTCTTTGTCACGGTGAGCCCACGGTGGTCCCCGATCTGTCCAAGGAGGTGGGGTCAGCTGGGATGTCACCTCCCTGGCCTCAGCTCATGACTTCCAGGGACCTGGAATTGCTTCCCCATTAGGACCGGGTCTGACGCCGGGAAGCAGCAACTGAGCAGAGACCGTGCAGAGCCCGTGGCAGGGTGGGGGTTCAAGGGGCCTGTGGGGGTGGGGAGGCTGTGGGCACAGTGCCCGGTGCCCCGTGGAGCAGTTGTTTGCCAGGGGCAGGGGCTAGCATGAGCCTGGAGTGCTACCGGGCTGCCCAGCTGCTGGTCTCATCTGCATCCAGCCTCCCTCCCTTTCTCCTTCCCCCGCGTGCCCTTGACCGTTACCAAGGTCAGCATCTTGGGGATGTGCAGT